ACGGGTAAATGTCCCTAACTAGGAAAGGGCCATTTCAGCCTCCTCGTACTTTCTAGTAGGAGTTGCTTGGCTCACAGTATGGTAAGTTACTAGATAAGAAACGACGAGCCCGTGATGCAGTGATAGAGTGTTGTATTCTATGACCAAAGATCTCGGGCTCGAATCTCGGGGGTCGTTACCTCTAGGATTAGCTATGACTGGCAGATAACGGCTAACAAGCCAGAAATAGTAATTCTGGTCTCCCATGTATTTGTAAGTTCCACTCCATTAAAACATTAGTCGCTATGCGACCGCCTGCGGGGCTCTAAGTTGAGTTCTGAGGCAAAACGAGACGAGCATATTCCGTGACCGGATCGGTGGGCGGCTTATCATTCTTTTAATAATTTATTTCTACAATTACATTAACAGTAGCTTCACGTTTTTGATTCATTATTACTTTATGAATGCGGCGTTAGGCAAAGGCGAGAAAAAAGGTGGCAAAAAGAAGAGGAAAATGCCTCCATCTGGACCACAGATTAGCCACCTACATCTTGCCGAGAACGGTATCAACCACATGGGTCGTGGAGGGAATTTCGCTCCTGTCCGTTGCATGCAGCTGATCAAGGAGTAAGCACTTCTAAGTTTTACATACACTAACAATTCAAACGAATAAAGACAACTGATTTCCAGCATTAATATCTTTTAATTGTGCTAGTCGTATATATAATTTCACCTTCTTTTAAGCATCTTCGAAAGAGCTGCTACTTTCGCTTACAGTTTACAAATTTAAAACGAGATGGCTAATGTCCTGGAGGGCGTTGTTTGAGTTCACTTTAATTGTGTGACATATATGTACTGAACGTTCATACTTTTCTTCAAAGGGCAATTATCATATAACTCTTACAAAAAAATGTAGCTGATAACTTGCATGTATTAGTCTTGTAAATGGCTCACCTTTCGACCATATTTTCCATCAATTAAACAACCCTTTAATTAATCAAGTGATAGCAGCCTGAACGTTTGTCTACCAATCAAGCAGTTTTAGTTTTACGTGCTTAAATACATCACCAAAAAACATTTTGGCCACTTACCAGTGTCAACGATTGAAATCTGGAAGTCCAATTTAGCATCCAGAGCAACATCGTCAGAAAACAAATGGGGCAGGACTGATTTTAGAGGCCCCAAAAGTCCCATCGACTTATAATAAAAATTACTTTAAATGTTCAATAGCCCGACTTTGAATTTTTCGTTAATTTACACCAATAGGAGGACAAATTTCCATTTTCTTTAAATCCTGCCTACATAAGAACGAATTTCCCTTAATTGGCATTCGTAACCTGTGCAACAGAAGTTCATATTGATCGAGCTTTACTCTATTTTAGCATATTAAAACAAACATAATCTTATTTAATTTAATATGTTTTGATCACTTCCGCCAAAATTACATATTAATTTAAACTCACTAGCCAAGAACTAAATATTTGACCACAAAATGCGTTAGGCAGTTGGGTGGGGGGAATAGTTATCTAGAGGGACCCTAGAAGTCAGTTTTGCCACAAACTGTTTACGGGAACCAACCAGGAGCAAGTCCCTACATCAATCAAAACACAATTCTCCGGAAAGCTGGCATATATTTGTGGACAATTAAATCCAGCAGTAAACCACAATTTATTACATAAGCAGAATGCTTAAAAGTCGATTGTGAAAATTGAAATGACTGTATATTACTTATATGAAACCCAAAGATGCTCCCATGAGAAATTCAATTTTGGTTTACATGTATTCGGTCTACTTATGACCGACCGGGTCCGTAAAGGTTAATCGAGATAGCGCCTATTCAGAGGCTGAGGGGCAAATCACTAAAAGTGCAGATGCATACGAAGGTGAAAAAATGCGCAAATTTTAATTTATTTCTGGGTTTTTATTTTCTTTTCGGTTCTTCAAATGTTAAATGATTTTTATAAACAAATGTTTATCTGACTTTCTCTTACATCTTCTATACTAGGATCATAAAAAACTCGAAAGACCTCCAGGAAATCGACCTTTTTGGCAACGAGATTGGCCAAGTTGGTGGCCGAATACTCCTTGAAGGTGTGCTGGCGCGCATTGACAACAAGCTGCCCAAGATCGGTGTTCGAGTTAGTCACCTACTTAACCAGGATACCTACGATGCTATCTGCAAGTTGGCACCTGGTCCAAAACCGAAGAAAAAGAAAAATATTCGTCGATAAAAAGTTACTTTTCATCTGTTTACACGTTCTCTGTGCTACCTTTCTAATTATTTATAAGTCTCTTATTTTCCTTTGTAAAACATTGAAAGTTTATGAAATTTCAGGTGCAATTTGAGTTATCTATTTCAGAGTCTTTACCGTCTCTGTAAGAGCTTCCATTTAAATGATTAATAAAGCTTTTAACTCTCAAAGTGCTAAACCCCACCAAATTTTTGCCCCACGTCTACTGAACTGCGACACAAAGCGACCAAAGAGAAAGTGGAATACTCATTATTTTGAAAAACGTTCATCCAAATGTTCAGCAAAACACCTCGATTTACTTTGGACAGATGACGGCTAAAAAGCCGACAGTGACCATTTTAATCTCCTTTGTCCTTGCCGGTAATGTTTTTCTGCTCAAATAACAACTTCGGCTCTTTGATTTCCGCAAAAAATTATTTTCTGACTAGGAGTGGATCAGCATAGTCATGGATGTGCAGGCGCAGACCGAAATTTGATATGAATATTTGGACCGAAGTGCATCAGCCACTGTGGGATGACCGCGTAACATTCACGAGCTGCCATCAGGCGGTTAGCAGTATAACTTGGGTAATTATTGACCATATTGACAGCTGTAACAGCTGCGAGGGGTCCGATTCGCCAATGCATACCCCAGCACTCCCTTTGTGTTTTTAAATAAATACTCTAGTTTTTGAATTTAAGCCTTATTTTTTCCTCTGAAATTATTGTGAGTTAGAAATTAATTTTTGAGGTAAGTAAAAAAGCTACAATTCCAATATTGGAGTATCTATCAGGAAGCACACAGGCAGTGCTGGGAGACACCGACAAGCCAGACCACTCGCGGCTGTGTGAAGCAGTTGCAGAATACCGTCGAAACACCTCTCTGGGATTTTTAGCTGTGGAAAATAGTCTCAGATATTAATAATAATAGTAGAACAACAAAGATTCCCAGACGATAACGCAAAATGAGAATGAGAGTTCATCGCCAGAAGTCTATTGCGTGTTTGAAGTTTCAGTTAGTTGTTTCGTCTAAATATCTTCAGAGATAGAAAATTCAGACTCACGGCTCTCATTATATGCCCCTCTTTGTCTCGCGCGTAGCCTGCCAATACTGACTGGCGTTACGTCTGACCCGTATCTAGCTGATAGATGATCGCTTAGTTCATCGTATTAGTGTATTGTTTTAATATCACCTTTGCCGAATTGCTTGCCGTGACATGCAAACAGCCAAAGTTTCCAGCTGTCTTCGTCTGTTTGCTGCTCCGATTCTGAACGTTACCTTTCTCATAAGTAATCGTTTACTGTTCATATAAGCAAATAGCATGCGAAGAGTGGTCTACTGTAGAAACGGTTAGAAAGAGATGAATGAATGATTGTAGATCCCGCTGAATGGTCGTTATGACTCAGCATTTTAGACAACGCCTGCCTCAAGAAAAATTCATAACCTGAGTGAACAGAGGCTCAGAGGGAAGAGCTCCGTGGGACGGATTTGTTTACAAAGGTACCTTTCAAATAGCTGAAAGGGTTGTCGGTTTTCAAAATGGAGACTGCTGAAAAAGGGTCAAAATGATAATGGCTTGCCGAGCCAGATGATTTAATTAGTTTTAATTGTTCATTTTGTTATCCTGACTGTCGACGGCTACCAAGATTTAAAATGTCCGAGAACATCTGTACGCCTTATCAGCGATCAAAACTATTTAGACAAGCGGTTTGTTTTGGCTAGGTTGACCTGTGTTCGCATGCACTGCTGCAAGAAGTTGCGCAATTACATGCCTACTCTCCTCCCCTCACCGCATAGTAGAACTTTTAAAATTAACTTTGTCATTGACCAAAATGAAGTCTGCCATTGTAATCTCTAGCTAGTGCGTAGACGGATCGCAAGTTAAAAGCAGGAGGAGCGTTTACCGCGAATGGTTTGCTGTGCGTCAAACTCCACCCCTCTTCAGAGGCTGGACATTCAGGTTCAGAGCTCTCACGATATGTCGTTTTCTGTCCTGCCTGTAGTTGGTTAATACCGGTTGTGCCACTGCGGCGG